TATTTATTTAAATTAAATTTTGTAATATCATATCATTTTGGTTATTGATGATTAAATTATTATTTAAATATTAATTAATATTTTTATTTTTTATTGTTCAATTTAACCTTACTCGTGTAACTCATGTTAATTATCAATTTAGTCTTTTGTAACAGATGACGTAAGTTTACGAGTGGTCAATGATATTAGTCTACAAATTTTACGTCTTATGTAGATTTATGTTGATCAACCGTTTCTAGACGTGTTCATGAATATAAATGACATTGGCCCACTCGTGGACGATGACATTATCTATAAGTATTATTGATCTCTTGAGAAATTAAAGAAAACAAAGGTTCTTTTGGTTACTGTTCAGAACTTGTGGATTGAGTAATGGAGGTGGATTGTCTGCCCTTCCATTTCCATACTCTTTTCATATCACGGTTAAGTTATGTCAATATTTTATATTATTTTTTTTATAGAAATAATAAAATAAAAAGTAATAGGAATATAAAATGTTGACATGACTTAACCGTGACCACATAAACAAAAAAGAATGGAGAGAGTATGGAAATGGAAGGGCATACAATCCATCTCCTTGAGTAATATGTTCACTTGTTAACATAGACTAATCCTGACAATTTATTATATGATTCGACAAAAATAACAAATTCTGGACTCGTACATGGTCATGATTGTTATCAAATTACTCGTTAAGATAAAAAATTTAACACTACATGACTTGTTAAAACAACCGAATATGAGATCAAAACGACATGAACGTAACTGGTTTGCTAAGTCTACCATACAAACGACATTAAAATTTAATGTCACTTTCATTGAACCGCGCAAATCTGATTTATTTCTGTCTGCAATCTGCAGTATGATGCATGACCAGTCGAGCATGATACATATCGGGTGTATAAAGCAAGGGCGGTGCATACGTATGCTTATTTCTGTACCTTAATTTTGTGGCTGGTCAGTGGATATGGAGGGCCATTCCAATTTCTATGGGAATGACAAGTTAATAGAGGCAGATTCTACCCTCCTATTTTCCGTGACTTCTTATTTGTGTAGTCACGGTTAAATCATGTTATTATTTTATATTATTATTTTTTTATATCTTATTATCTCTATAAAAAAATAATATAAAATGTTAACATGGCTTAACCGTGACCGTATAAAACAAGAGGGCACGGGAAATGAAAGGGCAGAAAATCTGTTCAAATAATCTCCGACTACTGAAGAAAATATTGTTCCCCATAAGAAAAATATGCTTAATTTTCTATAGTTATGAGTCATTTCTAGAGCCACATTATTTGGTTGAGGAAAATGATGGAATTAATTAGATATGGGCAGTTGTGGCATTAACTATAGGAGAGACAATGACATGCCAAATACCCTCAAGAGTTAAATTTCTAAGCCTATCATGTCGGGCTGGTGGTATAATATTGCATTCTAAGTTTATCACGTTATGTTATGTGTTTTGATTTTGTTTCGATAATGTTACATAATAAATTTAAGATACTGTCACTTTAACATTTTAATTACATGTATTTCTCTTATAAGTGACTTGGAACCATCGATGCCCATAATTCTTGGATTTTCCGGATACGGTTGCTCATGCATGTGTCAATGGCGTTGTGGTCTATATCTAAGTGGTTGAGAGACTATATTTGCATCAAATGTTAGAAGTGACTACCGAGCGTATGCTAACTTGTTATGCACTCATTGTGGTCTATCTCATTCTCAACGTCTACTTCCTCATCTCATCCTCGTTGTGTTTTGGGGTGCTCAATTGAGCAGCTGCTTTATGTCCAGCTAATAATTTTACATGAGGCACCAACATGGTCGGTGGGATCGAATATTAATGATCACACTTAACGAATACCAAGTAATTTAGTTACATTCATCATTTTAAAAAATTACAAATGTTTTCAAATGGAATACGAAACTACTCTCAAAAAGCAAACCGTAAGTATCAACAATCTCATCCTTAGCTAATGACGTTTTGTGACTTGTAGTAAGAACTCGTCGTTGCACTGTTCACCGTATTATAGTGAACCAAGGGTGAAGGATTGATTTGCTATAGTATGACATAAGCAGAATCAATCATGTATTAGGTTAAGTAATATTCCAGAGAGAAGCATTATAACTAAAAATCGACAATACCATACCGCGCTGCATTCATGCAACGCAAAATCTACGAGTAATACTTTAAGAAACAGTTCATATACCGTTCTCGACTTCATCTAACCCGTTAATATTTGAGGTTTGATGTGTTTGGTAATAGGTACCCTAAACATAAAACGTGGCTAATGGTGGGGGGCTCAGGGTTTGATATTCTGAGGTTGGCTCAACAACTGAGGGCTGCAAGTGTTTGTCTACACAGTGTGTTCGTTAACGGAGTTGGATTTTTAATATTTTAGCAAGTAACGTGAACACAATGCTGAACATGTCCATCAAGATTGCTCACAAGGAAGGAGTAAAAACCACAAGGTAAAGAGAGACTTCAAGTTACAAGATACTAAAACAATATATAGGTAATAACAACTGAAATATTGCTCTGAATTTTGAAATATAGCAAAACTTAGATTTGTCTAGCAAACTTACAAGGGAGTTTAGGAAGTAGAGTTAATTTAATATGGTTACACTCGTGTTCTATCAGATAGGATAAGGTCCATTCACAAATGAATCAACATTGACTATAACTCCTAGCCTTTCAAGTTAATGATGCGGGTTCGATTCCCGCTAATCTTTAACCTTCCATTTTTATTATTCCACAATAATAGGCACAATCAATATAAATGGAAGAAGATTCATTCAATTTTACAAGTCCTTGAACCACGACGGGACTTTAAAAATCTCTTCTATATCTTATTCAAAGTATCAATAATCAAGTCCTTGAACCACTGATTCTTTGTGGAAATCACAAGTATAAATTTTCACCTTATTCAAAACCTTACCGTGCTTGACCAAGTACTGTGTTGCCACCAACTCATCTCGTCGTCCCTGGAATCCCCGTTTGCAAATAGTCTTGAGGCATGACAACAGACATGCACAGACTCGAGTGGTTACCAATCATGTACCAATAAATTATGCTACTCATAAGACTGACAACCAATGTTCTAGGATTAATATTTGGACTTGGATTGTCTGCCCTCCTAGTTGTGGTGCCCTTCCATGCCCTCCTATTTTGTGCGATCACGGTTAAACCACGTTAATATTTTATATTTTAATTATTTTTTGTCCTATTATCTCATTAAAAAAATAATATAAAATATTAACGTGGCTTAACCGTGACCGCACAAAATAGGAGGGCATGGAAGGGCACCACAACTAGGAGGGCAGACAATCCAAGTCCTTAATATTTTAGAGTTTTGTACCAAGTCTACGGTCGTAGGATACTGCTTGCACATGTACGATTTATATTTATATTATGTTCAGCTTGTTCATACCACGAACATATCCATTCAGCTTACACTAGTTACGACTAGTGTATGTCATATTATTCATCTTATACATGTATTGGGATACTATATTTATATACTCTCAGCTTGTCCTTGTCTCGAATTATTCGACAATGACTGGTTATAATTTTAATTTACACTAGTTACCACTAGTGTATGAAATTGAATGCTATACTATCGGTAAGCACTGCTCTAAAAATCTTCGCCTAGAACTGCCTAGGCCCTGCCTATGTGTTAGGCGGTAGGCCACCGATTAATCCCTAGGCACCCACCCAGCCCTGCCTAAGTCGCAATTCTCACATAGACATAAAATAGCTAACTTTCATTTTGCATTTTATTTTTTCAATAAATTGTAATAGACTTGTTGAACACGTGGATGAATACTCATTATATGCTTGTACCCCCATGTTTTCATTGTGTTCTTATACTTCATAATATATAGTTTATTTTATTTTGCAATTGATGTATCTTAGTACAATTATGTGTTTTTTTAAAGTATAAATAGATATTTATATATTGGTTATAAAATAAATTTAATTAAAATTAATAAAACCGCCTGGGCCCCGACCTAGACGCCCCGGTGCTAGGCCTCTACCCGCTGACTAACTAGCGCCTATCGCCTTTTAAAACCTTGCTAGTAAGTATCTGCTTAGTGTGTGTGTGTGTGTGTGTGTGTGTGTCAGTTTTCAGTTTTTATGACATGCTTAGGTATACTCTAAATAGAGAAGGGAGTGCATCATTTAAGGCCCCATTCAAAACCAACACACAATTGCCTGTGTAAACAACCTCTCAAAGACTTTGAGATTTTTATTTTCCTTTTTCTTGCCAACACACCTTCAATTTGGATAAACAATATTGTGGAGGCAAATGGCAACACCTTCAGTTTGGATAAACAACACTGGAGCTGTAGAATCAATCGACCGATGAGCACCTTCAGTTTGGATAAACAACACTGTTTCGAGACCGACTGGTTACCTATCCAAATCTCGACCAACAAGGATTTTCGAGTCCTTTCCTCAGCCTTCTTGGTGAAGTGAGGTGTTACCAGGATACTTGTGACGACCCGTCCCTAATTTTCTATGTAATTTTCTCCCCGAGTGTGTAAATTGACGTTTATGCCATTTTTGGTAAAAGTGGAAACTAACGTGGACATACTTATTCGACTTTAATTTATTTTTCTTGTTATCGTAATTAATTAGAACTCATTGTTCCAATAGTGTGAGCGTGAATTAGACCCAAATCGGATTTGTAACAAAAAAGTTATGCACATTTAAACTGTGCTAACAACGGGTAAATTTGTACACGTGCGTGTTAATTATTTAGTGTTGAAAAACATTGTTTTGATAAGGAGACAAATTTTGTGTTACCTTTGGATTGCACTAAATCTTATCCTTTTTCCCTTGTTTTAAAACCTGTCTGTGACTTACCTCACCACTAATTATTTTGCTTCCCACATTATAGCACCCAATCAAATCACTCTCTCTCTCTCTCTCTCTCTCTCTCTCTCTTTCTTTCTTTCTTTCTTTCTTTCTTTTTGGACTAATTAGAAAGTTCTCTCTCTCTCATCTTCTTTTTCTCTCTCCCTCGCCCGAGTCTCTCCCTTTTACAACACACACACACATAGACACCATCATCAAAACTTGCAGATCGAACCCAGAAACACCACCATCACACTCATCTCGAACCCATGAACCCACCCGTACAAGACGATTCGAAAATGATCGAGTTTTGACTCGTTAACTCGGAAGCTCTAACTCGATGGGTTTTACTCTGACGTGTTTTTGGTCGTGTTGCACGATTTTGGGAGCTTTGGAAGCACTTACTCGACTCCCTGTGACCACTAGCCTAGGTTTGGAGAGAAGACAACGTAGAAACCCACGGTTTTGGGACATCGAACTTAAGGCCGAGACTCTCGAGTAGAATTTGATCCATTTCCGTCCACCTTTTGGACTTTCAAGAGGTACGAACTTGTTATCCTCGTCATGGGTTTCAATTCCATATAAATTTCTTTGAAAATAGTTAAGAATTGACAAAGTTATGAAGATTTGAATTTTTTTCCAGTTTTCGACGAAACCAGACGACGGTGGACGACGAAGGTTCATCGGAGAAAAAGGAGAATGTTCTGTCAAAGTTGACAAAATATTCCATCAAGTCTGATGGAATATTCCCTGGAATATGTCAGTTCTGCCAACGCATAGGCGCGTGTGTGGCCGTGGGCTAGGCGGCGCATGAGGGCACATTTGGCCTCCTACCGGCGATTGCTTGACGTGTACGGGTCCGCAACATCAAGTAGAACATTTTCATATATTTAAACCTTCCGTTTGAGTAAGCTATGAGGAAATCTACCTAGCTTTTAGTATATGTCTTATTAAATTAATTAGTTTAGTTATTTCACATACAGGTGAAAATTACCCCAATGAGGAACGAGGACAAGCGAGGTTAGGAGGTTACGATCCATCGACGTATCAGTGAGTGGGCATTTGTTTATATATATATATATATATATATATAAAGTTTTATAGTTTCCATAAATGCTTTTAGATTGATTTAACGCCTATTATGCCATGAATTATTTAAAATAAAAACTGCCGTTATTGTTGAGATTTATATATTTGTCATGGCATGCTCATACACTTTATACTTGCTCATCGTACTAGGTGTCAATCCTGTCATACATGTTGCATTAGGCAACTCCAACTCGTAGGTGACCGCAAATAGCGCTAGTCTTCATGTGATTGTAGCACTAGAGCGTATATATTATGATTACACCCAGTCATGTTCATGTCAGAAATTATCTGCATGAACTCGTGTGTTAGCATAGATTGATGAACACCTAATTTCATTATGCTATTGTTGACATATTGTGGCTTGGCGTATTTATAGCATTATTGCTGATTTACAATTGTTTTCATACTTATACGTAGTATGATTTCCTGGAAGCTATACATGTTTTATAGCAAGAATATGTTCGGAAAATAATTGTGTTTTATAAACCTTTGTTTTTGCCCACTCACCCTTCTGTTTTCCCCCCTCCAGGTCCTAGATAGCTGAATTACTCTATGGCGTATGAGGATTAGCCGGCGATTCTGACATACCCCTAATAAATGTAGGAACTGTTTCCGGTTGTGTATTAAATACTTAACTAATTTCGACTGCACACTCTTTTGTCATCTATGCTCTGAATATTTGTATTCTATGGGTTCTACCCACTACTGCGCACTCACTTTATTAATTTAAATAAGTTATAGTTTTGGTTTTAATTTATTCACATTTTTACACCATTTGCACCTTTTGATTATGTCACCTTCAGGTGATGGCCAACATGCCTCGACTTCGGTCGATGTCTGTCATTACTACATTCGGCACACTAAAAGCTGAATTCGATATTGAACTTCGCAGAACTAGCAGCCTTGTCTTCAAGTTCTAAAACCCGAAGGCTGAGACGTGTTTCTTCCTCGATCGCAATCACGAGATCAAGAAGTCAACAGTGTGCCTAACGCCACATCAACATTCATTTTACTCCCCGGCCGAGCTCGGTTGATGAGTTAGCACGCCCTGCGTTCGACCGAAGGACGTAGTTAGCTTATTAGCTATTCGGCTTGCGTGCTATGTAGGCTAAGTAGTTTTTAGGATCAACATAGCAGGTCATAGGTCCAAAGTTCGATTCCTCATTCCCAAAATTGTTTTATTAAAAAGGAAAAATGACACATTATAGTCGTTGTTTCTATCTGATTTGTAAATAACACATGAAAACTAGGCATATTAACTTGGAATTGGCTAAATCGTGGATCGGAGAGAAAATAAATTTGATCAAAGAAAAGGAGAGAATAAATAGAAAACATGATTAACGACTTCCCCTCATCAAACTTCAATAATGGTCTCAGATATTTTCACTTAGATTATACGCTGAACAAATGAATCAGAACAATTGTCAATTATCATTCTACATAGGTAAACATGTCAACTGGTCTAAGTCCATGGTGCAAATACGTAGGGCAAACACATAACGATCCATAATCTCATTCCTCCAAAGCTAAAGAAGCTAAGAGCAGATAACATCAGTTCAAAACACGACTGCAGTTCCATCGATACAGAAGGGACCCCTTCCCAACTTGAAAATGGAATCCACATCAATAATTAGATAACATTATCTTCGAAATTCAATTTGACAAGCCTTTGAAGCCCTTGGGAACGTTGACATCTCCTGGCATAACTTCATCTCGTCTTTTACAGAGAAATCACAAGCAAATATTATCACATTATTCAAGACTTCACCCTGCTTCAACATGTACTTTACCACTTCCATTTCATCCGCTCGTCCTCGGAATCCCTTTATGCAAATGTTCTTGAGGCATGACATCAAGCAAACGGGTACCCACCTTGGCGGAGACCATACATGGTGTACAAAGTCACAACCATGGCGAAAAGCTGAACACTTTGCGTTCTGAAGATTATTTAAAATAAAAAAGTTAAAAATCAAGTCATTGAAGATTACCCAGGTACCATTTAGCTTAGGGTGAATTTACATATACTTACACTTTGAAGGAATAGATATTTCAGATTGTGTGATTTCTTGAGAAAAGTTGTCAGTAGTTTCCAAGAGCAGCATGTATGAAGAAATAGCTCCAAGCGGTTCAAATAATTAAACGTAGGTAGATGATATTGATGCATTATATCTGGATCCTTCAAACAGAAAAAGTATATATCAATTATAAACAAAGCAAAATTATATTTCCTCAACATAGTTGAGAATTTCCATTGACGAATCCCAACATGTAAGAGGGGATAAGTTAGAGCTAGCTTACCCCAAAAAGTGGAGCTGAAACCGAAAGATCTTTAACATACAACAACCCTTCAAAAAGCCTTTGCATACGATCAGCAGATTCAAGGATATAGTCATTGTCAATGCCCTGAAACCGGTGCAGCTGTTTGAAATCAATCTTCGCTCTGCTTAAGGATTTTGCCTTGTTCCAAGAATAGATCGCCATATATTCGTCTTGGAGATCAAACTTTTCGAGACTTGGAGCATTGACATTAACAAATATTTGGTATGCACGAGGGATTTCAGACGTACCTTGGTACAAATATACTTGTAACTTGTTTAGTTTCAGTGCGGAGATATTGAACCTCAATACTGGAAACTCATCAAGATCGACGAGTTTGCAATCTATATTCAAATCTTCCAGTACAGGGCAACAAGAAATGAGCTTCTCCATTGAGTCAATATCAAGACAATCGAACATGAGTTTGAGAAACTTGAGACTTGGGAAACAGTTTGACGGAGGAGTAATGGTAAAAGAAGGTTGGAGTCTTAGCTTCAACACCACCAATGTGTTGCACATGTACAAGCTTTTTGGCAACTCAAAACACACGTAATAGGACACGGTCTCCCCATCAATAAGATCCAGTTTTTGGCTGAAACCCCCATCAACAAGATCAAGTACTAGTTCAACAACATTGTGACTAACGGCACTGCGAATCCAAACGTCAAAACAAGAATAGTTCACAAAATCCTCACAAGTAAGACTGAATCTATGAATGTCTAAGGAGCCACGTGAGAGAAGTACAAGATTCACGATTCCCTCAAAATTATCTGAATTAATCCTTCTTCCACATCCGAGATCGCATAGGTCAATATTGGGATTATAAGCCCATACATTCTTCCATCTACGTGATAAAACGCTAGTCTTTACAGCTTCCTCTGTTATAAGGAATGAAAGAATGTGGCAAATAATTTCATCTGGCAATCCACTTATCCTATCTCCAATACATGCTTTTAACGACATTTTGATTTGAAACCGAGCCAAAATTCTGTTAAGATCCAAAAGAAACAACTTTAACTTCTAAAAGAGAGAAAAAAAACCAAGTTTCTTTTCTTTGTTAGATCTAATTTGTTTCAAAGGGTTTTTAGGGTTTAGGGTTTTCAGTTAACAGCAAAACTTGTGAGATTTGGCAGTACGTGTTTTGATTTAAGTTTTCCCGAAATCCAAACAGAGATATACAAAAGGAAACAAACGAATTCATTAGCGAAAATAAAAACAAACAAGATATCTAAGAAAAAGAAAAATACCTGATACGTTACTGAATCGGTGGAGCCTTCTAGGTTTAGATAAACAGTGTTTGGTAGCTGAGAAACGGCGGGAAAATGAGCAACTGGGTCACACTGAACGACAGCATATACAGTGAAGACTGAACAGGATAGTTAAAAGAGGGGGAACCGGATCCCCCTTCTAAGTAACTGGACCATTGAAATTTGATCTAACAACTACAAATATAGAGACCTCTAAAAGTTATAATTATTGTAGCTGTTGGATTAAATTTCAATGATCCAAATGGCCCGGTCAAGAAGATCCCACCCTATGCTCAGGAGGGGATCCGATTGAGGGGATCTGAACTGTTTGGAACTTGATCTTGACGAACTCTATGATGACCCTAGAGTTTGACGGACTCTATAACGACCCTAGAGTTTGATGGACTCTATAACGACCCTAGAGTTATATTCAACCACACGTCCTAAAATTTTGGTAAAATTTAACTTTGAGTTACATAACAAATTCATACTCCATATTTTAAGAGTCCTGCTCTCCTAAAGTGCTCATTTTAAGATCATATGAGATCCAAATGCATATTAATAAAAGGTCGTACCCAGTGCACAAGGCTCCCGCTTTACGCAGGGTCTGGGAAAGGTGAATGTCGGCTAGCCTTACCCCCATTTATGGAGAGGCTGCTCCCAAGTCTCGAACCCGAGACCTACCGCTCATGGACGAAGGCAATTGCCATCACACCAAGTGCGACCTCTTTATCCAAATGCATATTAATCACAAAATTATATTAATTTAGATCAAAAAATTTAAAATATTTGACAACTTAATAAGGTCCTAAAATCCTCATTTTAAGGTCCTGTTACTCCTGATTGAGTTATTATCCAGTTACCCATCCTCCGTCTCTTCACCCTTGGCACGTCCTCCGTCAATTTATGGCTTGTTTGGAGTGATTAGAGGTGGGCCGTAATAACTTTTACCCTATTTTTAATAAAGAATTGTAAATACAAAAAGATTTAGGATAATTAATTAGAAACAAATTATAATAAACATTACATTAAGGAATTTATTATTAAGGGGAGAGGTACAAAAATGTTAATAGTAATTTACAAGAGGGAGAGTTTAGAAACGCACTATTACCCTATTAAAATATTGGTCCAAGATGAACTGTTTATGGTCATTTTAGATCCCTCCATCTAATATATTTTTTGTGTATATATATATATATTTTGTTTTTTTTGGTAGTAATGACTTTCTAAGAGCACCTCTTATGGGAGATGCAAAATTACATCTTTTGGTCATGTTAGATCCCCTGGATAAGGTTCTACAAATGAATCCGTATCAATGAATTGTTGATGGTCATTTTAGATCCCTCCATCTAGTTGTTTTTTTAGTACGTTTTCTAAGAGCATTTCGTAAAGGAGATGCGAATTTACATTTTTTGTAGACAAAAAACCCTTCAATGAGAGATGTAAAAAATTCATATTTGTTGGAAGGAAGATTTAAATAAAAATGTAAATTTACATTAAAAAAAAAAAATCTTGTGGAGGTGGACTTCGCCAGTCAAAGAAAAAAAAATCTTATTAATTTACTTATCCTCCATTAGAGTATAATTAAATTATACACCTTTGAAAGTGTAGAATGAGATGTAAATGTGGTTTTTGCATCTCGAATTTGTTTTTTTTATTGGAGATGCTCTAACTAATTTAGCCGTAATGAGTTTCTAGAATTACTACAAAGACAAACTTTGGTCGAAACAAATGGGTCGATCAAAACAAGATTCCTATCCTCTAAGACAAAAAGCATCATAGAAAATGTTAGGGAAACAATGTTTTTATTTCATATTTTTATGGACCATATGATATGGAGGTTGATGATTGAATATTTTCTTTAATAATTTAAAGAAAGAGTCTAACCATCAACCGCACATCATATGGTCTACACAGTATAATTCAAGTAGATGGTCTCTTGAACATATTGTCCCTTAGAGCCAGCCATATTTTATTCTCATGTTTTATCTACTCCCATGATCTTAGTACCACCAACGCTAAAGAAGTTCAAAAAGTGGAGAGGATTTAAAAACAAAAATACTGCAAGAAATTCATGTTTCAATGTTTCATGGACAAAGAAAGTGGATCCATTTACAATCATTTTAGTGAAGAGAGAGCCACTTACATTTTAAAATTGGAATCGACATAAAACCTATTCAACTCGACAAGTCTTTGAACCCCTTCGGCACATTGAAAGTTCGTGTCGAAACTTCATCTCTCCTCCTGCATGAAATTCAGAAGTACAAACTCTCACCATATCCAATACCTTACCGTGCTTTAGTAAGTACTTTGTCACCTCCATCTCATCTGGCTGCCCATGGAGTCCCCTTATGCAAATCGTCTTGACTCGTGATGACAGACAAATAGGTACAAGCTCCGTTGGACACCATTCATGTACAAAGATAGGCTCGTAGAGATGCAGAGAGCATTTGATGTTCTAAAAATTTTTAAAACATAAACGCGGCAATCCATGGAATGGTGCAAATGAAACAGTATTACCATTTACCGAAAGTGTAAATCCATGTATTACTTACAGTTTCAATGACAAGATATTCTAAACAGGGAGATATCTTCAGTAACTTTGTCAAAAATTGCCAAGAGTAACAGGCTTGAAGATGCAGCTCCAAGTGCTTCAGATTATTTAACGTAGGCAAATAGCTTCGAGTTTCAGTGCAACGATCCTCCATGACAACAAAGTGCATAGGTCAAACCAATGCTCCAGACAAATATAGAATGTCCATTGACATATATAATAGTATGCAGAAAGGCTACTAGACACTAGACACTAATGGAACATGCTAGAGCATACTTACCCCAAAAACTGGAGCTGAAAGTGATAAATGTGTAACATTGATAATTGCTACAAAAAGACTATAAATACGATCAGCAGACTTGTGCACAAAGTCAAGGTTGTTGAACACATGCAGGTCTCCCAAATCAATCTTCGCTTTGCTTAGCGAATTTGCATGGTTAAAGGAATAGCTTGCCAGAAAGTTCTCGAGGAGGTTGAACTCTTCAAGATTTGGAGCATTAACGTTAAGAATCTTGCAGTAATAATCTCCCATTCTGTAAATATCATCTCCATCAAAAGGGAATGGATCAATGTGCAAGCTTATTCGTAGTCGTTTTAGATTAGGTGCAGAGACATTAAAATTCAAAATTGAATCTTCTTCAAGATCTCCATCGATAATCAAATCTTCAAGTACAGGGCAACAAGAAAAGAGCTTCTCCATTAAGTCACCAACGAGATAACGCACAGTAGCATGGAGAAACTTGAGACTTGGAAAACAGCCTGAGCTAGGAGTAACGGTAATATCGTTACAATGCAAAGTCAGCTTTAAAACCACCAAAGTGTTGCACAACAAAAGCCTTCTTGGCAACTGATAACCCTGATATGTATTTGGCGTCAAGTCTACGAAGTGATCAAGTTCGAGCTCAGCAACATTACGCCTAACAGCAGTGCAAATTCAAGAATCAATCCTAGAACAATCGTCGTTCAGTACCTTACAACGAAGCTTGAATGCATGAATTTTTTATGAGCTGCGAAAGAAAAGTACACGGTCCACAAACCCAGCGAAACGGGAAAATTCTTCCGGAGAAGTCTGAGTTAGGCTTAGATCGGGAACAGAAGCCCACACATTGAACCATCTGTGTGACAAAACGCTGGTTTTTACAGCATCTCTTGTTGAAACGGAAGAAAGAATGCGAAAAGTATTGCATTCAATGCATGCTTTACGAAACTTCGAGTTTGAACCCATTTATTATCTGATGAACTTATCTTCTAAGGGAATTTCCTAATGAAAAAACGGACAACCATTATATACTTTCATGGAAAATGCATGGAAAACTTTGTTCCCTAAAATTCTACTTTTCAAATTCATGGAATTTCTCCTTATATACTATAACGTTTGGCGCTAGGTTTGTTTATTTATTTTTTTTTTTTTTCTGGGCTTTTACTTGGTATCCAAACAGTGCATGATACCAAAAAAAAAAAAGGAATATAAAGGAGGTTAATTTTAGAGAAAGAAAAAGAAAATACCTGATCTTGTTATGGAGTGGTCGAGCCGATTTTAGTCTGTTTGGTTGCTGAGAAACAAGAGGACAAGTAAGGGCAGAAGCTGCTGGATCTCTTTGTATATATACTCCTTACAAATGGTGAGGAGTGACAGGCTGACAGCTTTGAGATTAGAGATACTCACCTGAAACTGAAGCAAATGTAATATTAATAGGAGGCAGATTGTCTGCTCTTCTGTTATGATGCCCTTCCTATCCTTTTCTATTTGTACGGTCACGGTTAAATTACGTCAATATTTTATATTCATATTGCTTTTTGTCTTATTATCTTTATAAAAAAATCAATATAAAATGTTGACGTGAGTTCCGCACAAATATGAAGAAATGAAAAGAGCACGGCAGACAATCTGCCTCTATATTAATTAGAGGTGTTAAATGGGTGGGCCCACACAAAAACGGCACGGGCACGACCCATTTTAAAGACGGCACAGTTCAAACTCATTTAAATAATGCACGACATTATTCATAACAAGTGACCAGGCCGGACATAAATTTTGGTCCAATGGCCCGACCGGCCCATGGCACTTTCGGCTATCATGGATCCTCGAGCCGGTATCATCAGTTCAATTTTATAGTAATTGAATTGAAGAAGACGAGTGAACCCTTTGCTAGGGAAAAGCTGCCCGGCTTGAATCTTCGAACCAAAACTTCAACCCAGTTGACGTCTCATTTCACTCTTGTTTGCACCTCACTTCTCCACCGCCCCAAAGAAGATGGCTCTATCGCTGAGCAGACCAGGGTAGCAGTCACTATTAGTGAGAAAGCTTGCCCCTGTACCGCTACCCTGGAATCTGAGACAAGTAAATAGTTAGTGAACCAAATCTAGGAAGGTTTATTATATTGCATCTTTCCCCTTTTTCTTGTAGCTTTTTTATTTTATTTCTAGAGGAATAAGGTTTTTGTCCTCTTCTTTTGATGTATTTTTTTCTTATTGTTTGAAAGGTATGGTTTATGACCTGCTAACTAGGTGTAATGATCTTTTTTTCTATAATCAAATTTCTCTCCTACCGTCAATATGAGCTCAACTACTTATAAACACACATGCAAGGTTCCCCCTCTCATCAACATGTGATTCATTCTCAACATGTCTCCTCACGTGTGACAAATTTTCAAGCCTAAGTTCTAACACATGAACAACATAACTCGGGTGATGTGGAGCACGTGTGGCCATTGAGCTTCACACGTTGGACAACATGCTCTGGTACCATGCAAAAAGTTGAGGTTCCACCATAAAAACAATTGGCAATATGGAGATTAGCCCATGCAAGGTTCATCATCTTATCAATGTGAGATTCATTCTCAACAACATACACATATCCCCGTTGTTTTCAGAAAAAATGGGATTAGTAGTAGGACCTCACACTACATTGAACTTTAACGATCCGAACAGTATACTTTTTAAGTCTCTATTCATAGTTCATCATTGCAAAAAATTAATTCAATCTGAAACCGTTTGTCTATTTAATTGTTATGATGAAATTTCATTGTTTCTTAGAACACAATATGTGGTTGTCAATTTCTTTAAACTCATTTAGATACCTCAAACATTTTTTATTTGGTTAATATTTTGTAAGTATGATATGTGAAGTGCGACTTAAAAAATAGAGAGTTCGGGTTGCTTAAGTTTGATGTGGTAGAGGCCCCACAAAGGATCCCATTTTTATGTAGTTATCATGTAATTATTAACTATATATTTGATGACAATCATGACATATAACTTCTCTATATGAAATTGTACTCGTGCCAAAAACATTTCACGTTGGAATCAAACAACCTTTGTCTTAAGTGTAATTTATTTATAGATTTTGAGTGAACTAAGGGCTGAGCTCAAACCAGACTAAACAAGAATATCCCAGTAAAGCCATGCTTTTCATCCTCTTAACAAACTCAGAATATCCGGACAATGAAGCCCCATCTATTTGTCATGAGTCTTATTTTGTTATCTCGGCATCCACCTACATTTCAAATACAACCATAAAGTTCAAACTATGCCTCTTAATTGCCAACTTTTTCTCCACACATTTTTCACATCCTTTAGGGTGCGTTTGTTGCATCGGACTGTCTCGGACTAGACTAGCTGCAGGGACTAAGCTGGATTGGCTTAGACTAGACTAAGCTGAACTAGTTTAATGAAACGTTGATGCAATGTCGGACTAAAGTGACAAATTTAATATTTTTCTATTTTTTATTCACTTCTATAATTTTTTATTTCAGTTTTATAATTTTTTTATTTCATGTTTTTTATCTCATTGCATTCACAAAAGCTATACTCTGCTCTTCTTCTTCACTGATATTAACCTTTTATTTTCTCTGCTTCCAAAAATCCCAACCACCGTCTCCAATCTCTTCAATGGAATCCAATCATCTAGTGCGATTCAGTTGCAAAAGCCCCAATCTCTTCAAGATGTGTTATTAATTTGTTTGTAGATGTTCTGCAGGATAACTATGGTCAATTTTGAGACAAGATTCAGACAAGGATGTAGAGAAGACTAGGAATAGTTGTCGATAGACCACAGCTAAACATCATTTTGAAGTGATCAATTCAATTCCAAACGCCCCAATCTCTTCAAGTTGAACATCTTCTTGACGTGTTGGGCTGCGATTTCTGTTTGTTCATATTTCAAATTTCAATTTGGGGATCTAGGGTTTCTGGGTTTTTTCTCAACATATTGGAAATCGGCGGGCAAGAAAATTTCTAGCACGAGGCGTTGGCGAGGTGTTGGAGTTGGCGACGAGGTCGATTTGGGCGACGGGGCGTGCAGTAGCTGATGATGCAGAAGACAGGATTATAGGGGGTCTTAGCAATCCCATGGTGGAGCGTGGGATTCGTAGTGATGCGGTAGCGAGGGCCGTAGTCTGGGCGAGTCCCAGCTAGTCTCATTTAATTTAATCCCAACCTGCGCCAAACATGGGACTGTAGTCCCAGTTAAGCCAGTCGCCCTTAATAACATCAAACAAACGCACCCTTAGAGCATTGGTGAAAATCCCATTGAGAGAGAGAGAGTTATTAATTAGACTTTTACTTGCGACTTCCAATGTCAACCATGGGAGTTTTGTTGCTGGCTTCTGCTCTCCTGTTGCTAATTCAGTTTTGCTCTGCTCTCCGGGTTTCATATGATGGAAATGCCCTAAAAATTGATGATGAAAGAAGAATTGTAATATCTGGCTCCATTCACTAACCCCGCAGTAATCCTGAAGTATGTTAACTGATTACCTTTATAATGAATTTTAGTTACTTAGTCACCTTCAATGCAAATATGATCACCACACGTTGTATCAAAATTGCTAGGTCTAGACGGGAAACTTTAAAATATCAATAAAGTTTAGACTCAATTTTTAAAAACGCCCTACCAAAACACTAGTATCAAAGAAAATTCTCAACATGTCACCAAACTAACAATACCTTTTATAGATGTGGCCATCCTTAATCCAAAAAGCAAAACACGGAGGTCTCAATGCCATTGAGACTCATGTGTTCTGGAATGCGCATGAACCTCTTCGTCGTCAGGTTTAATTTCTTTTGCCCCTTCTTTTTCCATAATTATTTTTGTTTTGCCATTTTAAGTGTACATATTCACTCATAATATTATTGTTAAATTAGTATGATTTCACCGAAAATCCGGACCTAGTAAGATTCATTAAGGCCATCCAAGAGACAGGGCTCTATGCTGTTCTTCGAATTGGACCATATGTTTGTGCAGAATGGAATTATGGGTAACATTTATTTTTCCCAACTTATACACTTATATTTTGACCTTTAATTTTGTCTACGCTCAACATATTATAATATTTTTCAACTCTTTCCTGCAGAGGTTTGCCTGTGTGGCTGCATAACATACCCGGCATCAAATTGAGGACAAACAATCCTGTGATTGAGGTAAACTTTTGAAAAATATACATGACATTGACTCAATGGTTTGTTTCTATTTTCAGTTTATTTACTCTAATTTTGTTATACTGTTTATGTTTTCAGAGGGAGATGGCAAACTTTACAACCCTAATAGTTGATATGATGAAGCAGGAGAAACTTTTTGCTTCGCAAGGGGGACCTATTATAGTTGCTCAGGTTTATAATTCAGCCAACTTTTTATGATTTTAGTTTTAGTATTTACTAGCAACGGTGCCCGCGCGATGTTGCAGGTTCAAAACTGTATAAAACATGTAGAAAGTTATAAATACACACGATATGCAATAATATATAATATTTACATATATGTTCAAATCTATTTACAACTATATGGATTGATGGTTCTATCACCATTGTTAATATTCATATCTTTTACAAATTGATGTCCTAACTGTCTTTAACTAAAAGAAAAGATAAAAGTTTATTTCTTGCCGAAATCTACCAATTTGAATCAAATCTACCAAAGAAGAATAGATTGTAGCATACCTTGTCATTTGCAAACTGGACACCTGTAATAACAATAGCGATATAATTTCTTCCAAAGCCATTGGAAAAACCAAATTTGAACAGAACTTCCTCCCCCCTCCTCTGACCAAATAAATAAAAAGTTATGTTTCTCTTTTAGAACCTCGAATCAGATGAAACTCCACTCACATGACACAAAACCATATAGAACAGAAATTAGAAAAAATGAAACTAAACACATTAACTCTTGACAAAAACTTATTACCCATTCTTAAAATCACTGAAAATACGAATCACCAATGAAGAAATGAGGAAACAAATCAATAACCTAACTTATATACCATTAGGATGAACAAATCAGTAACCTAACTTATATAGCATTAGGATGAACCATGCTAATTTGTTCATATAACAGACCTGTCTCCCTACATTTCCCTTTTTCTCAGCGAACAAAAAGACCTATCCTCCTTTTTTAAAACTTGCAACTACTTAGAATATTATAACAGAATGATCAAACAAAACAAATTAACTCTTTGAGCACACATTAACTCTCGAGCATGGAAAGACTTTGGTTTATTGCAAAAGAAAAAATGGATAATAAAATAAGAAACCCATTGGAAAACTTGGCGATAGATTGGTTAAAGAACAATTTAAAATACTTTTTGTACCACTTGGTGATGATAAATACTATTTGTTTCCGGATGACATTAAGCATCGTGAAGAAACAAAACAAATAAACTTTAGATAAAAGTTCATATCACCTGCCCCAAATCAGCTGAAGAATTCATATTAGAATTTATACCTTGCAACACACAGTAACACAATAAATATAATCAGTCTCATAATTATTAATCTGCGAAACAATAAGAAATTAATATAAATAAAAAAATGACAAACCTATTACTTTGCATTCTCATTATTGCAGATATCTGATAATTCCCATCACCAGAAACTCTTACTTTGTATAAACCATATGTATGTAACCTGCAAGAAAGCAGTAAGAAAATAACTAAACTATCACTCGAAAAGAAGTTAGACAAAAGTGTGGAGAATAAAAAACAGATATCTACTTCCAATCTATCAAGATGTTAAGTTTAGAGTTGCATCATCTTCAATGCCTAAACGAAGAGTAGAAATATATTCATGCACGAAATAATCCTGGTATAACTCCAATACCGCCAGAAGCATGTTAATAAAATATTAGTCCCAATACATCATATTTACTACTATCATTTTCAGAAGTCATGTGGTTTTCCACAAATTGTAAAGCATGTATATACAATGTGAGGTTTGCCAATAACTCCAGCTATTTCCGAGTGTGCACTGGTGTGTTTTTTCCTCTGAAAGATGAACCGGTATTATTCCCACCATAACCAAAAAGGAAGGAAAATTTGACAAAAGAAGCTATCTTAATACCTTTCAGGAAAATTGTGAACCACAAAATAAGCATTGCATTTCAAGTACCATTTGCACTTCGAGCTTATGAAAAGAAGAATAACCCAAAATATATTCACAATTATTATCTGAAGCTTTCTAGCTTTCTCTAAAGCTTTCTGCTTTGTCAATTCCTTTTCTGTTGCTAGCCTAAATACAAAAAGAAATTAAATCAATTTCTTTCAAAAATTCAAAAATTCATATAATTATGTAAAAGAGCATCTGATTATTTTGAAAGCAGTTAAGGTGGGTTCCATACCAAGGAATAACTTGATAAATTATTACCTGAAGCTTTCTAGCTTTCACTGAAGCTTTCTAGCTTTCACTAAAGCTTTCTGCTTTGTCAATTTCTTTTCTCTCGCCTGCCTAAATATAAAAAAAATATAAAAATTAAAAATTAAATCAATTTCTTTTGAAATTTCAATAATTCAAAGGAATATCTGATTATTTTGAAAGCAGTTGAGGTGGATTCTATACCAAGGAATAACTTGAAGCATATCAAAGTTAATAAGCTTTAAGAGGGGTGAAAAAACTTAGCAAAGAGAGAAGGTATTGAATGATCAATGATAAGAATTTGGTCACCTTATTTGATCAATGCCAATGATTCTGAAGTAAGTATCAAGTGCATTAAAATTTGATATAACAAAGCTTGAAAAGCACACATCTGTAAATGATAAAAATAATGTTAAGTATTGATACGTAACTGAAACAACTCAAACTACGGGATCAAAATGATTGTTTCCACATAAAATAAATTCAATTGTTAGAAGGTCTTACAGTTAGACAAAAGAAGAACAAAATGACAGACCACCACCCTTCAATGCCAACACAAACACATACAAACAGTAAACGATGAACATGAAAATGAAGTTGAAATGAAAGAAAAGTAGAGCCTAAGCTAAAATGCATTCAAAGGAAGATTTTTGCACCAGAAGAACAACATCATTACCATGCAAATACAAACATATAAGACAATAACATATGTTTTAACTCTTCTTCCAGCCTTGAAATAGATTTAGCAAGCAAACCATTTGCATGACTAAGAACTCCTACTCTCAAGCCTTTGGTGCTACTAAAGAACCGTATATTTCTTCCTAGATGATCAATTGAAACACCCCAGACATCAATTAATTCTAATCATAATTAAATTCTAATAGTGGTTTAAAAGAGTAAAGGCGTGTTATATATATAGATGAACAAACAGATTCAACCTATCATATATACGGGATGTCAACTTGTTTAGTCATAGATTCAGAACAGATAGAAAAAATATTCATAGATAAGATACCTTAATGGTGTTCACGTTAATATGTCATATTTTGCCTTTTTCTGGATAACTCTTCTCATGTATTGGATTGCAAACTTCACCTCAATAAGCTAAAAAATAAAAAAAATAAAAAATAAAAATAAAAAGGTGAAGGTTAGAGGTTATAGCAGTCATGACTTAGTATGCCACTACAACTGATAAACAAAAAATAATAATTGCCCAATATAGGCGAGTATTGGTTGCCATCAGAAAAGCTCTAATTAAAAGCAATCTATTCCCCAATATGCACCAAAAAACAGTTACAATATCCCAGACAATCAGACATATAGGATATGCTTACAGTGAACTTCAACTAATTTTGTAGGTGTCCACCAATTCCGTCATTAAATCAACCAAATGAGAGAATATAGGAACTAACATTGGGTGTCAAGAATTCGTACCGTGGGTATAAAGAATTTGTACCCGTATTGCACCGATTCATAACGATGAATTGGAACCGCGGTTGAGTATTCCTTAACAATACAACAATAATAAGATTAGGTATATTAAGCAAGCTTGAGAGGTAAGTAAGAGAACAACAATGTCGCACTGGAGTAATCTGAAGCAATAACATATAACTATTCAAGATGACACATAAAAGCCTAACTTCATGTAGCTATAGTTAAGGCAACACTCTCAGTATTTCATAATTCTTCTCAAAAATTATGAAATACTGAGAGTGTTGCCTTAACTATAGCTACATTGAAGAATGCCAAGTAAAATTGCATACGACAGAGAGACTAAAACATGAGCAAGCCCACGTTCTCACCCAGACGTTAACAATTCTCTGTCTAAGCAGAGATACAATCAAAACATACTGATGTGCCAACAAAATGACACATTATTAAGAATACTCCACTTAAGACAAAATTTAGAGCTGTAATTGGCATTTAGAAAACTAATTAGTAATATTGTTATTCGAAAACTACCTGAGTGTTATTCAAAAACTGAGTCGTATACTATTGAAACTAAGTTGTATACTGTTGAAACAAATTATTTCCTCCTTGCCTGATGCAAAACAACAATTAAATCGAAAAATTATGTAAGTTTTAGTTATATTATGACACTGTTTACGTAAAAATGCTTCAGACCTAACTTTCCCTATCTAAAACTAAACAAAAATCGAGATGGATTCCATTTCAAGGGACATTCAGTCATCCCATATTTCCGACTGTACACTAAAAACATTTTCGATAAAATTTTCTCTGCCTTTGAAACTACTTTACCTCATCCTCACTAAATCTGCCAGCACTGATTATTCTCTCGAAGAGTTCTCCCCCAGTTACTCCATCACAATGGCTAGATGAGTTGGTGTCAGCAGGACCTGCAAGAAAGAGACCCCACTACTCTCAAGTCTTAAACACAAACCTCCTAACAGAGGACAACAACTGATCCAAAACAAAATTATTAGAACTTCATCCAAATTAACAAAAACACAGAACCAAAAGTGAAACACAACAGTTATGAAATATACCTCAGTTGTAATAAATTTATTCTCCAACGATCTAAAGACAGTCGTCGCTTAACAACCGAAAGGCAGCCGTCGTTCAAACAGAGAAAAAAAACAGGGAACAGATCCGGCCAAAATTCGTCAATCGCAGATGAAAACAAACGCAAAAACACCAAAATCTTCAACCCCCAATCACAACTCCACAAATCTGGCAAACCTCGAAACCGATTTCCTTCCAAGTCTATTACCAAAATTGCATGCTTGGATAAGCAAGCTAGAAAATTCTCAAACTACAAACATAATCTAATTAAAATTTCACCCAAGAAAACTCCCCACCTCTCGCATTAAATCAAAACTCCCAAACCAAGTCAATGGTTGATCACAACCCATAACACAATCTAATTAAAAAATTTACCCAAAAACTATTCAATTTTTAACACTTCAAATTGAACAAAACAAAATCGATAGATTTGGTTAAAAAAAGCTCCCAGATGCAAGATTCGAATAACTCACCGAAAAACTATCCAGTCTGAGAGCAAGTGAGACCGAGAAAGAAGATAGCGAGACAGAGCCACGGACAGCAAAACCGAAAACAATGAAAGAGCAGTTCGAGACAAAACAATGAAAAGCAATAGAAGCATGAAGAGGATGCAGCGATGGCTAACACCTGGAAAGCAAGGGTATAAGCGTCATTTCAGTGTAGAAAAGCTGAAACAAAGCGCAAAGAGGAAAAAATTTGAAGGGGCAAAATCGTCCCACCACTGGTCATCCACAGTACCACCCTGATTGGGTTTTAGTATATAAAGATTTAGTAGATTTCCAAACTGGTGGCACACCATTGCCGATCTATCTCCCACTTTAACTTTTGTTTTGATCGATTTCCCCCACTAAACTATTGTAAATCTGCAATTTTTTCCGTACATTCATGGTCCCCCCCCCAACACAAAAAACTTGGGAACTTTAATGAAAAACCACATTTTTACACTAAAAAGTCAATCTTGGTACTATTCGCTTTACCCTTTATTTTGTCCTTATCATTAAAACTCAAAGTTTTCAAGCCATTTTCATTAGTTTTCCTAAAAAACTTTTCACCTAATGTCTCGCTAAAAATGAACATTTTGAAAAGAAAAAAGAATGTTAAGAAATAAAAAATCACAAATAACATTCAATGAGTGACGTGACCATTTTGGATGAAAGTTGGGTATAACATGATAGTAAGAGGGAAATTGGTAGTTGTACCAGTTAAAATAAAAGCTTAGGAAGCAAATCACGTTGTACGAATTCATGATGTAATTGTCGAAATACTTTACATATTATCTTAATATAATTATATATAACCAGAGTGAGATTTTTAGATCACCGGGCCCTCCCCACTCTAACGACACACCGATACTGCCCCCAACTTTATCACCTGCCAAATCCGTCAGATGTGAGATTTTATTACAAAAAACCTCGGTATTAGTTAAGAGTAGGGAAATCCTATTTAAACCCCTTTGGTTTTCTTGCACCCACCAATGTGGGACTTTAACATAAAAGAGGGATTAAATTGGGTGTTTGTGGAATATTGTTCTAACCAACTTATCTATGCTTAAGTCTGCAAAAATTGATTTTGAATATTGTAATATTTCTTTAGGTACAAGGGTTGGGGCATGCAAGATCCACACAGGACTGCCGTTGCGTGCTCTGTTCACGTTTCTTTCAGCTTGGTGGAACCTTCCAAAACTATTACATGGTGTTCGTGGCAGGAATTCCCGTCGGGGATGTTTCCTGGCCGACGAGCACACAGCTTCCCTGGAGGTTCGGCGCCGGTTGAGGGCTGCTGTCGGGCTTCTGCTTTCCTGTCGGGCTTTGTCGGGCAAGTCTCGTGGGGCAAGACTCTTCGGGCAAGGCTCTTCGGGCAAGGCTGAAAAAGAAGGACATCGTTAACTTTGAGAGGTGCCTTTGTGGGGCCTTAGGTGTAGGCCTTGAGGCTCGCAATCAAGGTTAACATTTTAGTGCTCAGGCGTGCCACTGCCATCTTCAGCATGGCAGATGTCGAATGGATGTCAAGTTTTAGTTGTGAATATGCATATGCCCGAGAAACCGTGTTAGATATAACAGGTGCCTTTATGGGGCCTTAGGTGTAGGCCTTGAGGCTTCCTGTCAAACTAAATCAGTACTTGAGCATATTATATTTGGTCTTTATGGTTGTCGGAGTCTTATAACTATTATATTTCTGATTATCCGAGTCTGAGAGGTAGAGCGAACCCAAATAGGCGCCTTTGTGGGGCCTTAGGTGTAGGCCTTGAGGCTTCCCATTAGAGTCCGTTCTTATACTTAAACCATCTAGACCGCAGAATAGAATGAACCCAAATAAGTGCCTTTGTGGGGCCTTAGGTGTAGGCCTTGAGGCTTCCTATCAGAATTCATTCCATACTTAAGCGTTCTATGATAATCATGATATAATAGAAATAAAACCAAGAGGTAGGTCGATTACTTGCGCCCCAAGTAACTTCGGACTTCTCGTTTATCAAGGATTGTCGTGGATGGGTTAAGTCCACATAAAGTTCTTTTTTATGCCTTGAGGCCAAGGACTTTTAAACTAATCAGATTTACATGCCTGAGGGCTTAGGACTTGGATCTGATTTAAACACTGAAGATATATTCAAATCGGATCCAAGTACTGAGAAAGCTTTGTCATCGTGATTTTGCTAGAAATAACTTGCATATAACTGGAAATATACAACATATTGCTAGACTTTAAAGAAAGAGAAGACAAAGACAATGCAAAGCAGGTCGGGCAAGATTAAACCTTATCAATTAAGGCCGATCGTCTTGCAGGTCCCTATCTTTGTAGTTCTGTCAAAGGTCTGAAAGCTTAGAGAGGGAGAGGGGAAAGGAGAATACAAAAGGTGAATCGATACTACAACAAGTTCGAACAAGGTAGCATAGCTATTACAGAAGTTGGGAGAAAAGATTATCCCGCGGGGGATGAAGGCTTGGGCTGATTACATCTTTGTTTTGAAAGGCAAATCTGGCTTTTTGAGCAGAGTTTGTGCTTTTGTTTGTTTGATTGAGTGTCCTTATTCCTGTCTTCTCTTCCTCCTTTTATAGACGACTCGGTTTGGCTCCTGTAGCGACAGTTTTGCCCGAATGCGGTCTGAGGGTGATGACTCATCAGCTTTATTACATGTAATGCCACCATAAAGTACTTTATGGGCTGTGCAGTCTGATCAGTCTACACCACTTGGTCTTTGGGTAGGTAGGCAAGTGGCCCTTACGAATTGTATCAAGTCAGAAAAGGCCCTTTCCTGCTTTCCCAAGTTTCGCCCGGGCCTTGATCTTCTATTCCTCCAGGCCTCCTTTTGGGCCGACTCCATCCTTGGGCCAAAAATCAAGTTTTAATCCAAACACATGGTAATTATACACTTCACTTGGTGCCTAAGCTCATTTACCAATTTAATTTAGTCATTCGACCATCTTTCGATTATTAATACGCGTAAGCAATACGCCTGCAGTGCCATGGTGGTACGAATTTCGGTCGTGTAGCAGGCGGTCCGTACATCACCACATCATATGATTATGATGCACCACTGGATGAATATGGTAATTAAACATGCAGAAAATCAAGTAATTAGCTTCTGTGTTTGTATGAATTTTGTATACCGACTGAGTCTATGTTTTAACTATGTGAATAGGTAATTTGAATCAACCCAAGTGAGGACATCTTCAAAAGCTCCATAATATCATCCTATCAAGGGAGAGGGCACTGACTTATGGCGCTGTAGATAAAATCGATTATGGAAACATGATGGAGGTACGTAAGACATTTATGTGTATATTTTAGAAGACAAAAAAAAACTTTCAATCAGAAATAGAATTGGAGACATTAGACAAACAATTAATCATACAAAAAGCTTTAAACCATGGTTTAGTGACGTTTGTTGTATGTTTACCGTGTGAGAATTGTAGTGTATGCGGTATCAAGGTCATCAATGGTGACTGTAATTAAGAGAGAAGAAGAGAGGTTGAGAGAGAAAGAGATACAGAGAGAGAGAGAGTATACTTTGATATACTCCTGTTTTCTTACTTTAATACAAGCATATCATCTCCTTTTATACTTGTTACATTACTTACTTCTTAAGCAATCTATTTCTCAACGATCTTAACTAACTTTAACAACTATACTGCCTAATCTATTGACACATGGCAGTATGTTGACCCTTGCTCAAGGCTTGATCCTTGTCATACTGAGTAAGCTAGCTTATGTTATCCTCAATTAGTAAACAGTTCAGCACCATCTATGACTTTAAATTTGTTAAAAGTTCAATATCGGAATTCACTCAGCCTCGCTTTTGGAACGAGTAAAACTTCCTTATCATTGTTGAGAGTTTCGAGTTCAGAACGCAGAAGTTTATGGTCTGTCCTAAGATGAACATCGAGCTGCCGGTGTGGGTTGTCTTGCATTCTTAACTACACTCTACATTTTGCACAATTACCCCACAACTCCCATCCGTTACTGATAAGTGAACATGTCATTAAAGGTTATGAATGTCGATTTCGTTGCTAATTACTTTAAAACTCGAAACTTTGAACCTTGGACTTGAGTTCCAAACTTAGGACTTTTTGACATGACGGGACCTTGAAATCAAGCCTTAACATAAGACCTTAGGCCATCTCCAACAGAAGGCTGGCCAGAGGGCTCGTTTGAGCCCTCTGGCCCTCCAAGATTCCCCAAGATATTAATATTTTAATGAACAGTACAGGGCCATATTTGCCTCCGTCTCCAACCGAGGGCCAGAGGGCCAAAGGGCTCGTTTTAGCCCTGTCACAAAAAACCGTCTCCAACCGAGGGCCAAACATAATTTATTATTTAAAAACTACAATTTAATGTTGTATAAATGGCCTAGGAAGTTATACGAACAAAATAGAATTGAAAAAAAATATGAAACAAATTTTGTGAAATAGAAGTTATAGGAAAAAAATATGAAACAAAATTTGATTCATATGAAAAGGAAAAAAAAGGGAAAAAAAGAAGTTTAAATTCATTAAAAAAAAAAAAAAAAAAGGCCTAATAATCCAACGGCTACTAGCCGTTATATTAAAAAACATTTCAAACTATTAGTGTCGGTTATAACCGACACTAATAGTAGAACTATTAAAAAAAAAAAAAAACCTCTTCAATGCTGTCGGTTTTAACCGACAGCAATAGAAAACATTAAAAAAAAAATAAGCCAGCCCGGGGCTGGCTGGCCGAAAGCAGCCAGCCCTCCAGCCCTCCAGCCCTCTCCGATCCCGTGGGGCCCTCCCAGATTCCAGAGCCTTCTGGCCTAGCCCTCGGTTGGAGACGGTTTTAGGGCTATTTTCGGCCCTCTGGCCCTCTGGACCCTTCGGTTGGAGATGGCCTTACATTCGAGATGTGAGAATTTTATCCCAGTAAAGCGATGCTTTTCATCCTCTTAACAAACTCAGGGCTAGTTTGGTATTGCTGTGCTTTGAAAAAAAAGCTGCTGTGAGAATAAGCGGCTGTGCTGTGAGAATAAGCGGCTGTGAAATAAAGCCAGTAGAGTGTTTGGTAAACTTTTTTGTGAAAGTGCTTTTGGAAAAAAAAGCAGGATGATAGTGTGTCTTTTCATTAAAGGAGCACTGTAGCTCCGTGTGCTTTGAAA